TTTATCTTACCACCAGCTGATACAAGACATGAGCATATGGAATTCAACGTTTTACATACTGCATCAATTATGTGAAAAGCGTCGTGCATTAACTGTCTATTGTTCAGAAATTAATGGAACTTCCTGCCCAACTGTATACCCAATGGTCTGTGGTTGAAAATGCTGAATGTGCTGCTCCATTTGAAGAGGCTACTCATGAAGTTAGCTTGCATTTATTTGGGTGCCCCACCAACAAGTGCACCATCAGAACATTTGTCCAGTGTGGCTGGGGAGGTTTTCAATGATCATTGTAGTTCACTTCTGCTATATAATGTAGGTCACTTAATATTTTTAAAAAACAATTCCAAACAGATCAAAGGGATTTTAGAAAAATAACTGAAACTGAAGTTACTTTACCTCACTTTCAAATTGAAAGTTTTAATTGTTTATCAATTATTTTGTTATGTTATGTTATGTTATGAGAAATTGTGCCCTTTTATTTCAATAACAATGAAGTTTAACAGAAAATACCAAGTTGTCACTTGGTATTGAGAATGGTCAACATTGTTGACCATAATTATACCTGCTCCGGCCGGATATGTCAGTAGAAATCTAGCAAATCCGGCTTTGGCCAGATTTGCAAAAAATTAAATCCAGTACAGCCCTAAGTTTCAAGTCTTAATTTATTTCTCCTAGCATTTGCCTAAAAAAGGAAACAATACAGCAGAGCATGGGGCAGGTAGTACTTGGTTATATAATACCAGTAGGCAGGGTGATTGTGATAATCTTGAACCTGACCTGAGTGGTTAAAAAGAGTTACTTTCTGTAAAGATTACTTTAAACATTAAACAAAATGTTTTAAAAATGTTTTAAGAAAATCATCTAACAAAATACTAGAGATTAAGGTGAGAGTAGATTTTGTAGTTGAAGTCAATAGTTAGTTACGCACTGTTCACACTGGATCAGAGATTTAAACAAAACACAAACATACATAAAGTAACTTACGGGTGAGTAAACACTGCACCAGAGGTTCAGACAGAACACAAACAAACATAAAGTAATTTAAGGGTGAGTGAACACCATGTCAAAGGTTCAGACAGAACACAAACATACAGATAGCAAACTTAGTCAAAATTGCGTCAGAGGTCAAGAGAAGACAGAACACAAACATACATATAAAGTAAATTACAGGTGAGCTAACACAGTAACTAAGGTACCTCCAACTATATATAAGATACACACAAAAATAATAATAAAAAATAAAATTAAAAAAATAAATAAATGTATATATATATATATAAAAAATAAATTAAAAATTAAAAAATATATATATTACTCAGGCTTGGTCGGGAAACGGGAGCGGTCGCTCTTGATTGCTGACCACAGCAATAATATTTAGTTGCGAAAAGCTGGCCAGATTTTTTAGTCACTTTGAGAACATTTCAAAAAGCAAAAAAAAATTGCGCTTAAGATTAATTGGACTGATGAGAGACAATTACAAATAAATAAAAAAATTAGGAAAAAAAATATCTTTTAACACAAAAAAATTTAAAGCAAAATACATTACGTTTAGAACAAATATTTTCGAAACATCGCTCTTTCAAAAAAGTGATGTTTTTTCATAATTTCTTTTATAATTAAGTGACGTTTTTTATATAAAGTAACATCTTACGATTGTTTAAAAAGAAAAGAAATGTTCTTTATTTAACAAATTTTGAAAGTTTTAGTTTTATTTAAGCAAAATTATTTTATAAATAAAAAAGTTAATTTTTTTATTACCTATTTTATGTTTCGCGTAGTTCAAAAAGTTTAACATATTTGAAGCAATTCTTCTTAGTAAGATAAACAAATAAAATAATTAAATCATTGAATTACTAAAAAAGTTAAATTACCAGGCCTTGCGATAAAGCGTCGAGCGATGTGAATTTTACGTCGTCCAAGAGCGATTTTGCGTGTAGCTAGGGCTATTTGCGTCGAGCAAAAAATTTTTTGTTTGAGTATATTTAAAGATATTTTTGAGCAGAATTTTAATGAAGTAATTTATGATTATTTTAACATTTAATAAAGTATTTTAAAAACCCCACGCTGTTGATATAAAAGTTTGAATTAAAGAAAAACTAAATATGCTCATTATTTACAAGTAGAAAAAATTCAGATAAAAAAAAAGTTTAAATCTTTTTAAGCTAACATTTTAATAAAATTATTCAGCAATAGCAAAGTTGTCGATAAAATTGAACAAAAATACTTTCTTTTAGTTTTAGATTTTTAACTTGAACAATTATTTTACGGGGGTTTGTTAGGTTTTAAAATTATTCTATAGATTTACAAATATTTATTAACTGTTAGATGTATTTAAAGTATTTAAGAGTAATTTTGAGGAAATATTTTAAAAATTGGTGAGCGCAAATAAAAAAAAATAAAAGGATTAATATTAAAACGTATTCTACTTGATTCAATAAAAAAGTACAGCTATTAAAATTTTTGTAAAAAGTAACTTGAAAAAAATTACTTAAATAATAACAATCGCTTTTTTGTTAGAAGCTACCGAAACTCAACGAAGCGTGCTCAAGAACAGCTGCTGAAAAATGGAACGTCAGTAGTTTTTCGAATAATTTTTAAGAATAATTTTTAAGAATAATTTTTTCGCTGAAATATGTCTTTTATACCTATAAGATTTATATTCTAGCATTTTCTTTTATTTTATTTTACCAAAAATAAAATTCCTTGTAAACATTAAAAATCTATTCAAAACGTTCGTTAAAGTTTTTTAGCAATATAAATGATTGTGCTTATCAACCGCTTTATGAAAATAAATAAAAATAAATAAATAAAAAAATATTATATAAAATTGCTAGTAAAAATATTAGCTATTGCACATTTTTTAATCGTACAATATTAAAATTTCCAGTTTATTACTCGCTGACTTTTTAAAAAGAAAAAATAATTATTTGAAAAACTTTAAGTTACATATTTGATAAAAAAAAGTCAAATATTAGCATATTTTATAATCTTTTTTAAATGTTTAGTTATAATGTTTTTTATTCGTTTAGTATAGACAAAACGTGTCAAACGTCGAGAAAATAAACAAATGTTTTTACATTTTAAAAAACGAAACATTCCAAAACATTTTTAAATAATAACATTTCTACATTAATGATTTAAAGTAGTTTTGCGGTAATTAAGTAAATTGGTGCAATTAATGTCGATAAATATGAAAAGCAAATGAAAAGAATTTAATGATGTCAAAAATCACGTCGTGCTTATGCGTTGCGCAGTTTTTATTCATCACAAGGCCTGAATTACCTATATAAAAATCAAGGTTAAAAATACTATATGACGAGGAAGCGAAACTGCTTCACAATATCGCTGATGATGTTTAGTGAGTGGGCTTTTTAATTTTAATTAGTATTTAAAACAGAAAAAAGTATAACGAATTTTTAAGAATGGCAACTGAACCAAAAATAATAAGAGTTAGTAAACCAATATCTAGAAACTTTACTTTATATCTAATAACTTGCTATATATATTTTTGTTCTGTCGTAACCTTAGACGCAGTGTGTTTGTTCATCCGCGAGTTACTTTGTTTGCGTTGTTTGTGTTTAGTAACCAGAAACTTCTTATATATTTGTTATATAATTAGTTTTATTAACTTTAAAGATGGTTATTAACTTCATTGAAAACGCAAATATTTTTCTAAGTCTTTGTTTACAAATTAAACCATAAAAATTGCTTTAAAAGATACATTACGATAAAAAACAAATTAAACCATAAAAATTAAACCATAAAAATTGCTTTAAAAGATACATAACGATAAAAAACAGATACACAAAATTACATTAACATAAAGAATACATACTTTTTAAATAAAAAATAAGTAATAAATTCTATAATTTATAATAAACTTTCAAAATTTTGACAATTTAAATAATATATATTTAATACATTTATTTCAATAGAATACTCTAAAACTTTATTTCGCTTAGTCAGCGTATTTTTTGAACTAATAGAATTAGTTTGTTTGTTGATTTGGCGGGTTTTTAGTGTTCGCGAATATTCTTTATATTCTTCCGCACCAAGATGTTTTGAGAACATTTAAGTTTTTTGTGTTTCCATGTATGTCCGTAAAACAAAAATTTTTTGTTTCGTACATAAACTTAAATGTTCTCAAAACGGCTAAAAAACCTAGCCAGTTTTTTGCAACTAAATATAATTTCCGTTGTCAGTATTTGAGAGCGATCGCTCCCGCTTCCCGACCAAGCCTGATTACTATAGGCATGAAAGTTAATAAATAGACAGGAAGTACACTTCTTTCCGCCTTTGCTTAAAAAGCAAATCCCACAAGGCAGCAGGACATGGAACATGTTGCACTGGGTTACATTTTACCAGTAGCAGGGTGATCATGAAGACCATATATTTGACCTGACATAAACTTATATGACATAAACTTATGATAGAATAGCAAAAAAAACTTTATAAACATATTGGAAGGTACAAAATATATAAATCAGATTTGTAACAAAATTTGGATTTCTTTGTTTATACTTTCCAATATGTTTTAACATTTGAAGCTCTGATCTAAAAGTAATCCTTATGATTATACTAAAATTCATGGCTAAATTCTATAATATGTAAATATAGAAATATCTAAATACTTAAATGACCTGTCACTTAAACCAAAACTAATTTCACTTGTGAATAAGATTAAAACAATTTTAAAAATCTAAATTCAATTACTATAAATCAGCCCTTAGAATTAGGAAAAATGAGCAATTAATTGTTAGAGATTTGCATTAGGTTGGCAAAAAAAATATTACACAAAGGGATAACCATAAAACATAAAAATGAGGTCTGCAATTTTTTGCTGCCCTCAAACACTTTAAGGTTAATTAGGTTCTAATTCTGAGGAGTAGTAAATTAAACTTTATAGACATTTAAATTGTAATAAATAAAATTTAAGGATAAAACTATTTTAAATAAAACTTATAATACCTTGAAATTGCTATAAATAAAAATTAGCTTACCTTGAAATGATTCTAAATAGCTGACAATATTAGGATGCTTGAGTTGAGACAAAACTGATGCCTAATTAAAAAATGATAAATACTAATTGCTCTTATAAGCAACTGAGGATTGTTTTTTTAAAAAATTGGAAATTTATAAAAATTTATGCTTAAAAAATTTTTATATATTTAAAATAACTGTTTCAATTTAACAAATTTTAAAAATAAAAAATATAGCTTTTAAAAAACAAAAAGTAGCTTTTCAAACCTTTGCTTCATTTTAAAAATTTAAAAATTGTGTACAATCTTTAAAAGTCCTGTGTCACTGACTAAAAAACTAGAACAAGTTGTTTTTAAAGCTAAACAAAAATGTGCAACATGTGGTTACACATGTTGTACATTTTTGTGTTGCAATAAATACTAATCAAATTAAGTTATGAGCTATCACTACTCTAGTCTTTAACAAGTCATTTTTTGCTAAACACATTTTATAACTAATATCTTTATATATTTTTTAAATAAGAAAATACTATGACCAAAATAATACTCATCTTTTTAAGATAAAAATATATGTTATAAAATATTTAAAAAATAACATTACCTCTTTATGAGCTTCTGATTGCTCTTTAATAGACATCTAAATTAAATTGAAATTGTATTTGTTTTAGATTACAGCATCTATATTAGACATATTAGTTATTTGCAGCCCCTGATTTAGGAAAACTTAGGCTCGAATTTGTTCATAAAACTATTTATCAACTTTTCTTCATATTAAAATGTATGACATATTTTACATTGTTTTGAACAAAGAAAAAAATTCATAGATTAAAAATTGTAAAAAGAAAAAAACAAGTTAATTACAATAATAAAGTGAAAAAATACAAAAAATTATTTGCATTTTTGATTTGCATTAATAAAACTTGTCAGAATTTTAAATAAAAAACACTCATTTTAGTTTTTTGTATTGCCACATAGCAAAAACCTCATACCACATTATTTTTTAAATGATTATCATATTGAATAATCACTATTGCATCAAATGATAAGTTTAAATTCTACCTAAAATCCTAATTTAAGTAAAATATGTTTATGGTTAATTTAAGATTTCATTACACTTAAGCCATTTTTAGCTTTAATGCTTATCCTCCATGGTTTTTTCCACAGATTTTTGTAGCTTTGATAGGTTTTCACAATGCTTCACAATGTTAACTGTTTTAGAGGTGAAACAATTTTAACTTTAACTTCTGGATACTCTTCCTAGCATTAACCTGCTAACCTTTGCAGATCAGAACTGAGTATACTTTTTTTGCACTATTACTAGGAAGATTAACATAAAAGGTTTAAAAGCCCTACTCGTATTCACAAACTGGGTTTTTTAAATGAGTTTTCTTTCTCTTAGGTTACCTTCACAACAGCTATAGAGCCATTATTGAAAAAACTTATAAAGGCAACATCCAGATACTTTTGTGAGAATGTAAAATAAAAATAATAATATTGAAAATTCAAATTTTCTAATTTCTAAGTAATGCTTTTAAGCTTATTAAATTTGTTTTAACTAGGTTTTACTATGTTTTGATTATAAATGTTGAGGCAAAAAAATACTTTTCTTCAATACAAAATCCATGAAAATATCCATAAAAAAACAATCCATAAAAAACATAAAAAATAGGTCAACCTAAATTGTCATTCACAGCATGACAAAAACTGCCTTCAAATTTATGCAAACTTTACTTGAATTTTTTAATTGAGAGGAACTATGATAAAAAAAGGTTTACCAATTCTAAAATGGCATTAATTGAGGTATATAAAAACAATGAAAAAGCCAAAGAAAACATAAAGAAAAGCTTTTCAATTTTGTAACAAAAACAAAATAAAGAAAAGTTATTTCATCATCAGGTCACCGGCACACCACACCACCTATAATAGGGAAAGACACATTAAGTAGTAAAAAAAGAAAAAAATGTTGAAAAACTCTTTTAAATGAATCTCTATAGGACTCCAACTTAACACTATGAACTATCAACAAAGATTATATTCATTACATTCATAAAATGATATAAATATGAAGGATCAATGTATCAATTTTAAAAACAATATAAAATTCTCAATGTTAAAAACAATATAAATCTCATTAATCAATTAATTAATATTAAAAATAATATAATGTACTAATATTGAAAACAATATAAATCTCATTAATCAATGAACTAATATTAAAAATAATACAAATCTTATTAATTATTGTAATCTGTGGATTTAGAAATATTACAAATCAAAAATGATCAAGCAAAAGAATAGCAAATCTGTGGTTAAGTATATTTTAAAAATATATTTAAAAAGTGTATAAAAGCTATTATGCCAATAATACTTAAAAATATATATGAAAGGGCTTTTACAATGTTTAACTCTTATATAAATGCTATTTGAAAAACAAAACAATAGATAAATCAAGATTTCTATTGAAATATAATAAAAATATAAACTTACTTTAGAAATACATATTTCTTTAATCACATATTGTCTCCCATTATTTTTCTTCTTAACTAAAACAGCCTTACCAAATGAGCCTTCACCTATATTCTTTATGAACATATAATTCTCCATACTTCATAACAAAATCAGAATTTTACCATAAATAATAATTAACAAAGCAAAATGTAATTAAGTTTTCTGATATTTAAAATTAATTTTTAAACAATTAAAACACTAAACAAGGAATCAAAAATTTATATAGTTTAACAAATTCAAGTATTATAAATATATATTAAATAAATGGGTCATTCCATGCCAAGTGGTGCAAATTTTAATGAGGTACCTCATGGACCATCTCAAATTTTATTGAAATTTTTTTATTTTGTACATATATATGTTAAAAGCACGTTTTGAAAATTTTAGATCAATATCTAATATGGTTCTTGAGAAAACGCTATTTAAGTAGTGGGCTATTTTGCATAAAATTTCACTCTACAAGAAAAAAGGTTTTTTTCATCATTTTTAACAGCCAATAACTTTTGAACAATTTAGTTTTATACTTCACTTATTATAAGATAGCAAGTGTGCTGTAAATACTTTGGAAAAAGAAAAAAATTTTAATTCTGGCATCTTAACTTTTTCCATAATGGCAGGCTAAAGTTGAGATTTTTGTTTTTAAAATAATTTTTTTTGTGATTTTAATGATCTTAATCTTGAAAACTAATTAAAAGATTAATACAAATCAAATTGCCTGCTGATCTACATGTGGTGGATAAACATTTTTAAAAAAATCAGTTGATTAAAGAGCTGCATTTAAAAGTTATAGGTCTCCAAAATGAGTCGGATTAAGATTTTTGTAAAATTGATCTGTGATGCAAAGCATCTGTTACCTAAGATGGCACTTTTTTTTTTTCATAAAATTTTTTATACGCATCAATTAAAGAGTGTTAATTAATAAAAACCAAAAAAATTAATGGGCGCTTATTTAAAACCCCCAAAAGGTAGTCTCTAAAAGTCAGGTAAATTTTCCATAAAAAATTATTACTTTATAAAAGTTAAGTCATTGTTTCATTTAATTCTATATTACTAGTATGTCAATCTAAAAAGTACTAATAAAATCAAATAAATTGTTGTATTTTAGAACTAATTAATAATAAGTAATATGCCTGAGCTTTGTACTTGCTGTATTGGTAAAGCATTAAATGAACAGTGCTATCTATCTAAAAAAAGTAAACGCTACCAAGAACTGTCTACACTAAACCAAGAGCTTATTTCTTTGAGAAGCAAAATAAATCCCATAGATTTTATTTGTAGCTATCACGAGAAAGTTTACTTGTCGAGGTATGAGAATGAACATCGCAGGTATTGTTGTAATCCGTTGAACAAGCACGCAAAAAAAGTGAAAAGTAAGTTTCAATATTTAATATCTTAACTTAATAAAAATACCTTAATAAAAATACCTAATAACACTAAATAAATAAAAAATAACTTAATAAAAATACCTAATAACACTAAATAAATAAAAAAAAACAATATTTAATAATTATTTCCGTTATTTTTTAGATTCTCTTAGAGTTATCAGTCTTTCATAAGCCAAAGATTTCGGTTTAATACCTGGTCAAAAAATTTGCACTAGTTGCAGAAAAGTTCTGAATTGCAAACATAATACAAAAGAAAATGAAGTCCAAGAAAAAGAAATTTATGTTGACAACCATACATTAAAAGAAGATCTTAATTCAAGTATTGCAAGTTTTGGATGCTCACCTCTCAAAATTGTTTCAAAAAAAGATAGAGTTGCATATGGAAAGCGTAAAATTGATAGCGTAAGAGCTCATACACAAAAGGCTGTTGCCAATGTGCTAGGTTTAGAAATAGCTGCACTTGGTGGAATTGAATCACCCTCAAAAAAATGTTTGAAAAAAACAAACACAGATTTAGACAATATTATGACTCAAATTAAGTCAAAATTTGAAAAAACATTGTCAAATTCTGAAAAAATCACACTTCTTACACTCACTCCAGACAGTTGGTCAATAGAGAAAACTCAGAAATTTTTTTTGACTTCAAAAAGATCTGTGGTACAAGCCAGAAAATTAAGGAAAAAAAGTGGAATACTATCAAAACCTTCTCCAAAATTGGGTAGAAAACTAAGCGAAGATGTAATTACAGAGGTTGTTCATTTCTATGAATACGATGACTATTCAAGGGTTTGTCCAGGAAATAAAGAGTTTGTTTCAGTTAAAGTAGATAGTATAAAGCAACATATCCAAAAGCGACTTCTACTAGTCAATATGAAAGAGCTACATATTGAGTTTAAAAAGAAATAATCATCTTAAAGTTGGATTTTCAAAATTTTGTGAGCTAAGGCCCAAGTGGTGCATTCCTGTGGGTGGTGCTTCTGGTCTGCATGCAGTTTGCGTTTGCCAGTACCATCAAAATGTAAAGCTCCTTGTACAGAAAATTCCTGGAATTGCTGATTACAAAATCTTATTGAAATTAATGGTTTGTAGCATTGAAAATAGAGATTGTATGCTGCATAGCTGCGATAAATGTCCTGCCAAAAAGGTTTTGTTAGACTACATTGACACTTTGTTTACAGAAAATGAAATTAGTGAAGTTAACTTTTATCAATGGCAAAAATCAAATTACCAATGTACTTTAGTACCAGCAACTCTACCTTTAGATGAATTTATTGAAATGGTTTATGAACAGTTAGATAGTTTACAAGAGCATCTTTTTATATCCAAAAGTCAAACCACCTACTACCAACATTTGAAAACTAATTTAAAAGAAAATCAAGCTTTGGTTCTTCTTGACTTTGCAGAAAACTATAGTTTTCTAATACAGGATGCAGTGCAAGGTTTTCACTGGAATAACAGCCAAGCAACTGTGCACCCCTTTGTTGCGTATTTTAAAAAAGATGGAAAACTTGATAGTCAAAGTTATTGTGTTATATCAGATCATCTGAAACATGGAACAGATGCTGTTCATTGCTTTATCGGTAATGTTATTGATAAACTTAAACAATTACAAACATTTGAACACATTATCTATTTTAATGATGGAGCTGCATCACAATATAAAAATCTTATCAACTTATGCTACCATAAACACGATTTTGACATGACTGCAGAGTGGCACTTTTTTGCAACATCGCATGGTAAAAGCCCTTGTGATGGTGTTGGTGGAACAGTGAAACGTCTTGTTGCACGAGCCAGTCTACAATCACTAAACGATCCTATTGACACACCAAGCAAAATGTACAGCTGGTGTGTTCAACACGTCAAAGGAATATCTTTTTTTTTTGTTGACAAAGTTTCAATAGAAACACTACAAACTTCAATTTGGAAGAGAGATATCGTTCTTGTTCTACAATACCTGGGACACGAAACCACCACAGTTTTATCCCAATGTCACTTACCTCAATAAAAATAAGAAGAGTCTCATTTGATATTATTTGCAGAATTTTTATTAATAAAATTTCAAGTTACTCACCAGGAGAATATGTGGCCTGCATTTACGATGCTCAATGGTATTTAGGAAATATTCTTAGTATTTCAGAAGAGCATCAAGATCTTAATATGAAATTCATGAAAAAGTCTTTATGTAACAAGTTCACATGGCCATGCAGAGATGATCTTTGTTGGGTACCTCTGATGCATATTTTATGCAAAGTGCAATCTCTTAAAATCCAGTCAAACAGTGGAAGATTTTATAGTATTGACTTAAAAGAAATCAATGAGATTATTTTATTATTTGAGAAATTTAACTTTTTGTAAATTTTGTTAATTTTGTTTATTTTCTTAAAAACATTTTGTTTGTTTTTCATTAAAAAAAATATTGTATTATAAAGAGGGGAGGGGACAGAGGGGAGGGGACTTTATCTATTGGGATTTAAAAGTTCTTTATCTAAAGGGATTATAAGGCTATAAACATTGATATTTTTCAATTGATATTTCATAATAAATAACATTATATAATTCAATGCATTTATTTATTATGTCAATTTCAGAATTTTATGGAAAATTTACCTGACTTTTAGAGACTACCTTTTAGGGTTATAAATAAGCGCCCATTAATTTTTTTGGTTTTTATTAATTAACACTCTTTAATTGATGCGTATAAAAAATTTTATGAAAAATAAAAAGTGCCATCTTAGGTAACAGATGCTTTGCATCACAGATCAATTTTACAAAAATCTTGATCCGACTCATTTTGGAGATCTATAACTTTTAAATGCAGCTCTTTAATCAACTGATTTTTTTAAAAATGTTTATCCACCACATGTAGATCAGCAGGCAATTTGATTTGTATTAATCTTTTAATTAGTTTTCAAGATTAAGATCATTAAAATCACAAAAAAAATTATTTTAAAAACAAAAATCTCAACTTTAGACCGCCATTATGGAAAAAGTTAAGATGCCAGAACTGAAATTTTTTTTGTTTCCTAATGTATCCACAGCACACTTGCTAACTAATAATAACTGAAGCATGAAACTAATTTGTTCAAAAGTTGTTGGCTGATAAAAATGACAAAAAAAAACCTTTTTTCTTGTAGAGTGAAATTTTATGCATAATAGTAATAGCTACTTAAATAGCGTTTTCTCAAGAACCATATTATATATTGATCTAAAATTTTCAAAACATGCTTTTCACATATATATGTACAAAATCAAAAGATTTCAATAAAATCTGAAATGGTCCATAAGGGACCTTTGCACCACTTGGCATGGAATGACCCAAATAAAGATATTATTTAACTGATACATATGGTTATTTGAAATGAAGTCTACTTATATTAAAGAAAATTAGTTATTATAATATTTTTCAATCAAAATTATTGATAAGTTGGGTTACACAAGATTTTTTTTTTTTTTTTAATATTATAATAAAAAAAAAATTTTTATCTTTTTAATTGATTCTAATAGTTTTATATGATAAATAAAAAGATATTTTACTTCAAATTTTCAACTAATATTTTTTGTACACATATTTGCACAAATTATAAATATAAACTAATACATTTTATTCAAATTTAATTTTAAATAACATGTACAAACTTGAACGTACAAGTTTCACACGTTTTACTCCAATCAAAATTTTCAGATAACCTTGGAAAACTTGTGGCATATATTCTTTTTACTTTTAAACCAAAATAACCTTAAACCAAAAGTCTTATAAACCAAAATAACCTTTAAAATATATATTC